GGATCTTAGAACATGGAACGAGGTGTACAGCTAGTTCGGATTAGGAAGCCTAATCCGAACTAGCTACTCCGTGCCGCGTGTAGCCGCGCAGCACGGGGTTCGAACTAGCTGGCATTTAAAAATGACGCCGGCCAACTTCATGCAAACGAAGCCCGGGAAATTCAAATCGCGGGCTTCATTTGCAACTGCGGATGACTACATTACCCTCGCTAGTTCGAACTAGCGGGGTAGTGTAGAAATACCCTAACAGATTAGTAAGACAGGATTTCCCTTTACAGAAACCATGTTGACTTTTGTCCAACAAATTATGTTCTTCTATACACTTCACAATTTTATTCTTTACTATTGTTTTGACTAATTTGCCCGGTACTGAAGTTAGACTTACCGGTCTGTAATTGCCAGGATCGCCTCTAGAGCCCTTTTTAAATATTTAAATACAAGAGTTTTTTTGCGCAAAACGGAAGCAGCTACACTGCTTCTTTTTGCACAAAAAACCCTTGGCAGAAAAAACATTGGCAGAAAATATGCTAAAGACATTGAGATTTATGCTAATAGTGCATCATTAGCATACACTCTGCCGCAAAACCTTGCTGTGTAGACAAAGCCCAGGGGATTCTACAAAATGACACTTACTCTGGAACATCTCAACCCATGAGTCCTACACATCCCTCAAATATGCCTTAAATGCCTTTCTGTGCAGCTTTGAGAGACATCTTCCTTTGGAGTTTTAGAAAATATAACATAAAACCCTTCCAATATTTTGGGTGCATCAACCTTTGTAAAAAATAAACTAAATAAACAATTTCCAGTTTTCCAAGAAAGATCCTGTGCTTTTACAATATTTTTACAACTCTAGTTTAAACTTTATTCCATACTAGTCTGAATTTTGTTTGCAGGACACAAGATGGTTTAAAATATCAGAAAAACTGGAAATTGAGAACCCAGTATTCTTCTTGTTCACTAAGGTGGGGGAGAGGTAGATACGCTGGAGGGCAGGGATAGGATCCAGAGTGACCTAGACAAATTAGAGGATTGGGCCAAAATAAATCTGATGAGGTTCAACAAGGACAAGTGCAGAGTCCTGCACTTGCGACTGAAGAATCCCAAGCATTGTTACAGGCTGGAGACCGAATGGCTAAGTAGCAGTTTGGCAGAAAAGGACCTGGGGGTTACAGTGGATGAGAAGATGGATATGAGTCAATGGTGAGCCCTTGTAGCCAATAAGGCGAATGGCATATTAGGGTGCATTAGGAGAAACATTGCCAGCAGATCTAGAAAAGTGATTATTCCCCTTTACTTGGCACTGGTGAGGCCACATCTGGAGTATTGCGTACAATTCTGGGCTCCCCACTACAGAAAGGATGTGGACACATTGGAGGGGGTCCGCGGAGGGCAACCCAAAATGATTAGGTTGCTGGAGCACATGACCTACGAGGAGAGGCTGAGGGATTTGGGCTTATTTAGTCTACAGAAGAGAAGAGTGAGGGGGGATTTGATAGCAGCCTTCAACTTCCTGAAGGGAGGTTCCAAAGAGGATGGAGAGAGGCTGTTCACAGTAGTGATGGATGGCAGAACAAGGAGCAATGGTCTCAAGTTACAGTGGGGGAGGTCTAGGTTGGAAATTAGGAAAAACTTTTTTTCTAGGAGGGTGGTGAAACACTGGAACGGGTTACCTAGGGAGGTGGTGGAATCTCCATCCCTAGAAATTTTGAAATCCCAGTTTGACAAAGCCCTGGCTGGGTTGATTTAGTTGGGATTGTTCCTGCTTTGGGCAGGGGGCTGGACTTGATGACTTCCTGAGGTCTCTTACAGCCCTAGGAGTCTATGAAATGGGATCACAGGTGAATTCAAACCAGTAACTTTTCTCATTAATTCTGTAGGATTTACTCTTTCTGGTAGGATTTGGTCATGGGTCAGTATTTCTTTAAAAGATTTTATTTCCAGGGTAATCAACTGAATTTTCTTTACTGCATATAACACGTTGTTTTCATCCTGAATAGAAAGCTCTACCGTATACTATGAATAATATTCAAACTAGTATCCCGGCAACAAATCTGCACCACTCTCTAGATAACATTGATATTGACTTAAATAAATAACAGAAAGAGCTTGTGGTTTCCTTCGAGTACTCTAACAATGTTTATGTTTCTTTCAGTGAGAGTTAAGAACTCATTTTTTTCCTTATTACCACTGAGTAAACAGATACATTAAATCAAATGAGTTAAAAAGCAAGCCTCACTGATTCCTGAATGTCTCATCTTAAACGCTAACTGCACTGCCAATTAAATGAAAAGCAATCCTGGAAACAAATCTTGCATATATTTCCTTTTTAAGGAACAAATGAAAAGGTAGAAAACGGTTCACATATCTGTTGTTCTTAGGAACGTGTACGGTGCATTATTTTTACAATAGGTTTAGATTTCTATCGTCTTTACATATGTTTTGCAAATATTTACATAAATTGATTGCAAAAAGCTCTGAAAGCCTCTGTTGGTCTTTTTAGAGCCTGCTTCCCAATATTTCTGAAATATCTGAGGGTTTGATTGAACCAGTGGGAGATGAGATCTGAGGCTTTTTGCGTACAGTTTGGCTCTGTTGCTGTGACAAATCACCAGATTTGTCCTTCCCTAAGGAATAAACTGGAACAAACCCAAACCCAATCCCAGTCTGGATGTTCACAAGGAGCTGGAGTCTTCATGCCAATTCTAGGTTTCTGCACCAGTTCTATCTCCATTGGAACTACGCTGCTAGGGCAGGGGTGGGCAATAAAAAAAATGGTGGTCTGCCAAAATTAGCCTCTCCTGGGCTGTCGCCACTATGTGAGGGTATGTCTACACTACCCCGCTAGTTCGAACTAGCGGGGTAATGTAGGCATACTGCACTTGCAAATGAAGTCCGGGATTTGAATTTCCCGGGCTTCATTTGCATAAGCGGGGCGCCGCCATTTTTAAAACCCCGCTCGTTCGAACCCCGTGCAGCACAGCTACACGGTGCACGAACTAGGTAGTTCGAACTAGGCTTCCTAGTTCGAACTACCGTTACTCCTCGTGGAATGAGGAGTAACGGTAGTTCGAACTAGGAAGCCTAGTTCGAACTACCTAGTTCGTGCCCCGTGTAGCCGTGCTGCACGGGGTTCGAACGAGCGGGGTTTTAAAAATGGCGGCGCCCCGCTTATGCAAATGAAGCCCGGGAAATTCAAATACCGGGCTTCATTTGCAAGTGCGGTATGCCTACATTACCCTCCTAGTTCGAACTAGGAGGGTAGTGTAGACATACCCTTCATCTGTGGGAAGCAGTGCAGACCGGGACACTGCTTCTTGCCGCTCCCATTGGCCACGAACGGCAATCTGTGGCCAACAACAGCTGTGACTGCCTGATATCTGTGGAGGCACAGGTGAATATAGAGGTGGGGGCCCACCAGAGACTATCCCTGTGGAACGTATCCAATCTGCAGGCCAGAATTCACCCACCCCTGTGCTAGGGACCACCTTGGTAGCATCTGTTCCTGGAATTTATTAAAATGGAGTCTCTTCTACAGTGAAGAAACTACAGGCTTTCTTTAACTGCACAATGAGCTGGAGTTATCTACACGTACCTCCTCCTGAGTTAGTCGAGCTCAAGTGAGAACAAATCTCACAGCTAACACCACTTCAGAAGCATAAAGTGTTTGGGTAAGCAGCACTGAGTGTGCCGTTACAACTGGGCGGGAAACCATTTTGCCGGCCTGTGATAGTTATTGAGATTTTGGATTCCCTCCCTACCACACCAACTGGAAATAAAACGAAAAGTCAAAAATCTCAAATATATCCTGCCCATGGATCCTCTACAAATATTTCAGATTGAGGTGATCAAAATGCTTTGCTAATTTCGAAATGTTTCTCTGAGATCTTGACTTTTTCAAACAAAATACTATTTGAGTAGAAATTAACTAAAATTTTAAATAAATAACCCCCCTAAACGTTCCATTTTAAAAACATCAACATTGGATACTTTGATAATTTCTTTTTTTCCTTTCAAGTTAGAGATTTTTCTATATCAACCCTTTCTCTGGTTACAGCACATAGTTTTCTGCCATAACAACACTTTGTTGGAAACCCCCCAACCAGGTCTAATTCTATTAGAAGTACAGAATGATTGGATTAGCAGCACACAGTAGCTGTATCCCTGCTGCATTATTAGCTTCAGTGCCGGTAGCACTCAAGTTTTGTCCCTGTCCCCTGGCAGGGTCACTAGCTTGAAACTTAAGCTAGAAACTTGTGTGTGGAAGGGAGTCATGTTATGGGCAACGCTCTAATTATACCTTAAACTAACACTATAGTGAAGAAAATCCCTGAAGGTCTGTGAAGGCCAGGACTTTAACAGGGTTCCAAAAAGAGTTAGATAAATTCACGGAGGATAGGTCCATCAGTGTCGATTAGCCAGGATGGGTAGGATTGGTATCCCTAACCTCTGTTCGTCACTGGGATAAGGCCTAGGGGATAGGGCGCTTTCCTAGGGAGGACAGGGATGTGGGTTTAAGTCCCACCTACCCAATTCGGGTAGGGTCAGCAGCAGGGTGGGATCACTTGATTCCCTGGTTTGTTCAGTCCTTCTGGGACACCTGTCATTAGCCACCATCAGAAGACAGGCTACTGAGCTAGATGGACCTTAGGTCTGACCCAGTATGGCTGTTCTTATGCAATAGAATCAGTGACTAAATTATATTCTTATGGCGTCTCCACAGTGTATGGATCCCCAACTGTATGCCCTTCCCTACAGCTCATTCTCACATTCCTCAATTCCCTTCTCAACTGCTCAGCAAAGATACTCAGACTTGCAGAGAACCATCTGTGGAACCCAGGGGTATCTCCTGCAGAGGAGATGAAGATCTGCTGCTTGCGGGCCTGTTTGCTGGGCAGATCTAAAAGGGCAGGATCAGCCACTGAGAAAACACCGCCGGAATCAGCTGCAAATTGGCAGCAGCAGTTTGGAGTAGGACAAGAAGATATTCAAATGCTTACCCTGGCAGATGGAAGGTTACAAGCTTCTAATGCAGTCTCTACTCGTTTTCTGTCAGCGGAAAACAAGCGGTATATGCTGCAAAATGGAAATAAACACGAAGGGATTTGTTCAAAGGCATATCACACTGTTCTGTATTACATGGATATGCGCCGTGCATGGCTAATGACTGCACAGCAAAATGACTCCTGGAAAACTTGCGTGTTCGATCTTTTTTTTTCGTAGCTTGATCTTGAAAGCAGAAACACGCTAACCGAAAAAGGAAAACACGGCACATTGTGGGGGAAGGGAGGAGGAGCAGGGAGTTAAAGAGGAAAGTAGTCACAGAAGAGGCAGAAAAGGTGGGGAAAGAAAGCCCCCTGAATGGGGAGACCAGTTCCTTTCCCCTGGAGGTGACCAGTTCAAACCCATCCTAGAAGGGAGAGTTGTCAACACTTATTACCATTTGCTGGGTGCTCAGTGGTATATATTTAGTTAGCTGGGTGACGTCAGCTCACTGTCCAGCATTCCCACCGTAACAGCCGTTATCACAATGGGTATGTAACACAGTTATATGGCTCCCCCGGCCCTGTAGAATTTGAGCACAACAGGAGCATCAACAGCGTCCGTGGGCCTGCAAGGCGTGGGGGGGAGGGGCTCCACATGCCAAGAAGGGGTGGGGTCTCAGGTGGAAGGGGCGGGGCTGAGGAAGCCAGCCCACCCAGCTGCCCGGAGTGCAGTGCCTCAGCCCTCAGAACCGCACACTCCAGAGCAATTAAATCACCAGGCTCTGGGGCAATTCTGCCTCCTTTGTCCCCCCTCCCCACATCAGTGGGCCTGGCTCATGTCGCCATTGTTAATGTATTCGTTACAGCCTGTCGAAGTAGGGCAGTTATCCCCACTTTACAGGTGGGGTACTAGGCATAGACAGTCTAGGTGACTTGCTCAAAACAACACAGGCAATCTAGGGATCTGAAGCTAGGCCCCTAACCACTGGGCCTCCATTCCCTTTTAGTATCTTAACTGGAGAGTGTTAGCCTCAAGACCCAGTTCTACTCTCAGATACTGACACACAACCACTATAGACTTCACCCACAGCACATGAAGACAGAGTGCCCCCCGCTCCCCCACCCCCCGAAATGTTCTGTTTAGGGTGGTGCACACTATGTCTACCCTACAGAGTTTTTTCAGAAAAACAGCCATTTTTCAAAAAAAACCCTCGCAGAGCAGCCACACCTCAAGCGCGTTTTTGCGCAATATAAAAAAAAAATCGAAAGAACAGTGGGGGTTTTCTATCGTAGGTATTCCTCATTCTGTGAGGAAGATCGCCTTTTTGAAAAAGAGCTCTTTCGCAAAAAGTTGTGTGTGAATGGGGAAGAGGGAGTTTTTTCAGAAGAAGAGGGAAGAGGAAAAAGCACAGGTGCCTTGATGGCCATTCTGTGCATAGTAATCAGTTTCCTTTCGAGAGAGCATCCATGCAGTCTGGACGCGCTCTTCTGCAAAAGTGCATCGCTTTTTCGATGCACTTTTGCAGTGTGGACACACTGTTACGCAAGAAGTTTTTACGGACGATGCCTGCAGTCTAGACATAGCCTGACACAGCAGTGAGAAAGTAGCTGGGCTTAGGGTGACTAGATGTTCCAAGCACTTAGGGACAGTCCTAGTATTGGGGGCTTTGGTTTTTATAGGTGTCTATTACTCCCTCACTCTCTCCTGATTTTTCACACTTGCTGGCTAGTCCCCCTAGCTGTGCAATCTGCATGCTGCGGGGATAAAGGAGTGAGTGTCCAGGACTGTTGCAAAGGCTAACATCACACTCACAAGTCTGAAAGAGTCAACTGAAACACAAAGCAGAGAAGAACTTACCTCTTGAGAGGAATACGTCCTTCGTGAGTGACTTGCAGCTTAAGTTTTGTGTAACTGTAGAGAGAAAAAAAACCAATCAAATGTCTTTTTCGCCTTTAAAAGCTGTTCAGACATTCTTATAGGCAAAGGCGACTGGTGACATGGGAAGGAGGGGAGGCACCGGACACATGCTGGAACAACCCTCTCCTGCCTCCCCTCTCCCCATCCTTGTTCCGCCCCCTCCCCAGACTTGCTCCGCCCTCACTCCTCTCTTGCTCCTCCCCACCCCGCCTCTTTTCCCCAGCTGAAACAGTTTGGGGGACTAGCGGGGCCCCGGGGCTGGTGCTGGCAGCAAGAGAGGCAGTGGCGGGGAAGGCACAGCAAGGGGGATCCAGGTTGTGCCACTCCAAGGAGGAGTGAGGTTGGCCCAGCACTCCCTGGAAGGAAACGGCACGGCCAGAGAATGGCACCGCGCCAGCTGAGTCTGCCCTGCAGGACTTTCCTCCACTGCCAGTGAGTGCAGGGGGGGGGGACACGGAATGGACTTCTCCTGCTGGCTCTGGCCCGCTAACCCACCCGCCTGCTGCTGGCCAGCCCCTCCCACTGTATGCACCTCCCACTATCTGCCCTGCTTACAGGTCAACCCTTGTCAGAACCCTGTGCAGATACAAAATTTGTGTCCACATCCACATCGACATCTCCGCAAAAATGAGTAGCAGACGTCCACAGATTTGCAGGGCTCTCCCTATTGTTTTTATCCACCAGCTAGTTTTACTTGCTCATTTTGCATGGTCTGAAAAGTCTTGCAGGACATTGTATGCAAAGATCGACGATGAGTGAGAAACATCGTCTGACGGCATAGGAGGTGATGCAAAAAACAGCAGTACACATACTTACGTGACCCATGTTCCTAGCATGGCTCACTATCCCATGGAGTGGCACTTAGACCACTTACAGCCAGAGATAAGAACAAGGGAGCTCTACAGCCTAAGCTGAGAGCCAGCTGGCTTCATAGCTCAAGCTGCAGAAGCCCCTACCCTAAGCTCCAGAAGTCCCAAGTGCAAATCTGCCCAGTGGTGGTTACACATACAGGACAGCCCCGTCTTCCCCCCACAACACTGCTGTTGAAAAGTAGGGTCTCTTTACACTAGAGCTGGAAAATGTCATTCCCAGCTCAAGGAGATGTCGATGGTTTGGGGTAGCTATGACGATGGGCAGGGCTAGCCACTTTAGTAGGTATTTAGGTTCCAGCAGGGATTATACTAGCTGCTGTGGCTACCCTTATGTTCTGAGCAAGCTACCTCTGACCAAGATACCATGGGTATGGTCTCCTCAAGCTAGAAAGTACAAAGTCTAGATCCAGAGAGGATATACACCTAGGCTTTGTCTGCACTGGCAGGTTCTTGCACGAGAACGGATCTTCCCGCGCAAGAACGTGCAGAGTGTCCACACGGACCGCTCGCTCTTGCGCAAGAAGATTTACAGTACGGTGTCAGAAGACAGGGCTTCTTGCGCAAGAGCTGTGCTCTTTTCTAACAAGTGTAAGTCCTCTTGCGCAAGAGGACTTACACTTGTTAGAAAAGAGCACAGCTCTTGCGCAAGAAGCCCTGTCTTCTGACACCGTACTGTAAACCTTCTTGCGCAAGAGCTGTGCTCTTTTCTAACAAGTGTAAGTCCTCTTCCGCAAGAGGGCAATGTGGACGCGCGGCAGGGGGTTCTTGCGCAAGAAAGCCCTAGAGCTAAAAGCTGCTCCCAACGCTGTGCCCGACCTTCTCCGTAAGCAAGGAAGAGGACGTGCTCCTGCCGAGTGCAAGGATTCTAACTGTTCTCAGCCTGTGTGCTCCATTATCCCTGGCCTCCCAGAACCACCCCACGACACACCTACGGAAGAACCAGGAGCCATGTGGCCACTGGTCATTAAATCCCTAGTCAGAAGGAAACAAGTCAAAGCACAACCAGTTACGCCTCCTAGAGCCCGTGAGAATGTGAACACACTCTACCCAACATGAGCTGGCTGAAAGACTTAGAATCAATGTGCTCAATGAGTCTGGCCACTTCACCTGAACACCTGGTGTGATGATCCAGTGGGTTAGAGCTCGGGATTTTGTGGTCCACCAATCTGTTTATTTCCTACAAAAGTTGCCTACATGCAGGCAATTCAGTGTACTATGTAGAGTGGCCCTTTGGAGTATATTTATATCCCAGTCCTTACAACGTTACCCAGGCCATGCTAGTTGCTTTTTTTCTCAGCCCTGTACATCCTTACCCGCACAAACAAGCTCTCTCCCGTCCAAAGCCTGCAAAAATCAATGGGAGTCATCCCATGGTCTCTTCCGGTACGACAGACCTTCCTTGGGACCTGCCCATGTGAGTGAGGGCTTGTCACCGTGTTACCGTGTCAGAGAAAACTATCAGGTTGGCTTGACAGGCTTTGGTCTTGACGAGCCCATGCTGACTGTTGCTTGTCACCTGGTTGTCTTCAAGATGTTTGGAAACGGAACATCAACGCCACTTAGTCAACTTAACTTTGTGGTGTAGACTGACTCTTAGTACTCAACCTTCTTAGCTATGGCTAGGGAAAGTTTGACAAACAATGCATCCAGCCACGATGTGAGATTCTCCCCGGCAGTAAAGGCACGGTTGGTGGATGTCACTAAGTGGGAATGATTGCAAGGAGAGGTGCAGAGGTTGAAGCCCTGGATTTTGGGCACAGTCTAGAACCCGGTGTGGGGGCAGGGGTACTTGAGAAATCCCCAAATTCTAATCTTTTCTAAACATTATTAAAACTAGGAAAATAACTAGAACTATTAAAACTCTGATTAAAGCTGATAAAACCTATCTACAGTTAGAAGTTTGAGAGCTAGACATTGCAGGTTCCGGTCCAAGCTATGTGGTGGTGAGAAGGGACTGGATTTTCAGACAGTCCTGCAACCTGCTTCAGTTTCTATTGCCTCAGACAGAAGCACAAGGTCAGTCAGGGTGCATGCATGCCCCAACAGACACCGCTTTCAAATTCTTTGACCCCAGGTGCATAATGTGCATGCAAGACCCACAACAGAATACAGCAAGGGCAATCATTCAAAGAAGAATCAACATTGTTGTGTTCTGAGCCTTGCAAATTGCAACCATTTCAGGAAAAATGTTCTGGGGAAACATTTGGAAAACTGCGGGAGCTGCCTTTCGCTAGGGACTTGTCTGCCTGAACTTTGAATACAGCCCTCTGTATAACGGGATAAAAGCCCGTAAAGGTAACCCTGGCCAGGAAACATCATTTCAATCTGGAGGCTCGATCATGAAGTTCTCAACACTGTCGTTTAAACGCAACTACCTCTGTGCCTTCATCATTCACCTGACACCTGGTAAGCATGGATTTATTCAGCTATTTTTCTTTAATTTGCAAAGTGCCTGACATTTTTTATAAACTTCTCAAAAACACCCTTTGTATTTTATCCTCCGGCACTCAGAATCAATGCATTGTGTGCCAAGGATTCTAGATGAACAGATTCACAGTTTCTCTCGACTGAGTATCAAAACCCGAGGGATCAGGCGGAGGAAAATGGAAATCGTGTTCTTCTCATTCTTTGACTAATAATAGACAGCACAGAGAAAAAAACCAGAAGTGGGTCAGTCTAAAATTCATTGTTTTTAACCCTGAGTAGCAGTGCCAAGACCTGACGTCACTCCCGGTGCGTGTAGCAGGAAGACAACGGCATTCAAAAGTGTATTCCAGCCGAGTCTCCTAAGTAATCATTTGTGAAAAGAATCATATTTCCCTGATTTTTTTTTAGATACCAGTTTTTTTTTAACTCAGTGAAAGCGGAAAATCCATGTTTACAGCTCAGACAAGCCAACCCAGTCCAAACAATAGATAGTAAGAAGGCTGACAAAAGAAAAAGGAAAATGACTCAGAACAAGGAGTAACAGCCTTTGCAATAAATATTATGGCTACTTACGCTTTTTCCAGAAATGCATCCCTTGACATGTTGTGTGCCAGCAGATTTGTTGCCAAACTGAAAACTTCGTCCGTCCATTCCTAGGGAGATATAAATTACAGTGGCTGTAGCCCAGAAGCAGTTTCTCAAAGGTGCTTGTTTAGATCTCTATTGTCATTAAAGGTAAATAGTTTCAACATGAGTATTAGTAACAGAAAGTCTTTAATAAAATCCTGAACCACGCCTGCATGATGGCCACCATCTTACAAGAAACACAAAGGGGTAGGGGGTTCAATGTTCCCTCTAATCTTTTCCATCTATGTGCAGAATAAATGTTATATGCCCCAAAGCATGTGTGGGTGTGCACCACCCATGGAAAGAAAAAACCTGGCTGGGTTTGGAACAGGACCCATATGAGGAGAGGCTAAAGAGACTGGGACTTTTCAGTTTAGAAAAGTGGAGATTGAGGGAGGATATGATAGAGGTATATAAAATCATGAGTGGTGTGGAGAGGGTGAATAAAGAAAAGTAATTTACTTGTTCCCATAATATAAGGACTAGAGGACACCAAGTGAAATTAATGGGCAGCAGGTTTAAAACTAATAAAAGAAAGTTCTTCTTCACACAGCGTGTAGTCAACCTGTGGAACTCCTTGCCAGAGGAGTCTGTGAAGGCTAGGAGTATAACAGAGTTTAAAAAGAGCTAGATACATTCATGGAGGTTAGGTCCATAAAAGGCTATTAGCCAGGGGGCAAGGAACGTTCCCCCTGGCCTCTGTTTGCCAAAGGCTGGAGAAGGATGGCAGGAGTCAAATTGCTTGATCATTGTCTTTGGTCCACCCCCTCTGGGGCACCTGGCACTGGCCACTGTTGGCAAACAGGCTACTGGGCTAGATGGGCCTTTGGTCTGACCCAGGATGTTCTTATGTGTGCGCCTTGCTCATCAGCTGGGCAGCATTTGATCTCTCATGAGTGGCTGACTTCCAGGGAACAATGGTGGGGTACAACTCCCACAACAAACCAATGATCTACAGGGAAACAACATAGTTAGGCTAATCGCATAGTCGATACAATTTGTACCAACTCTGCAGTTAGTCGATAAGTGCTTCTGGGCAGAGCCACAGCAGAGGTAGCTCCAGGTGCCTGCTCTGGAGCCACCTGCACTGCTCCTCTGCAGTTTAAATGTAGCAAGAGCTGCTGCAGCGGAACAGCGATGAGTCAAAGCTGGGACTGCCCAGTCCCAGCTCACGCTGAGTCCAGCAATCCCTGTTTGCGGTGGCCAGGGCTGGCCATGGACCCGGGTGCTCAGGCAGCAGTTCCTGTCCACGGTCAGCCCTGGCCACCACCAACAGGGGCTGGTGGTGGCAAAACCCCTGTCCATGGGAAGCCCAGCTCCCTGCTGAAACCCCTGCAGACAGAAGCTGCTTCCCAGCAATGTCCACTGTCATCCTCACTGCTACCTCTGATAGAGGCGGGGGAGATGGGAAGGCAGTACCCTGGAGATGGTGCTGGGGGGATACGGCTTTTAAGTCAGCTCCCGGCTCCTGTCCCCACCCCTGCTTCCTCTCACAGAGAGCACGGGGCGAACAGAGACTGCTTGGTTACGTCTAGACTGGCATGATTTTACGCAAATGCTTTTAACGGAAAAGTTTTCCGTTAAAAGCATTTGCAGAAAAGAGCGTCTAGATTGGCACGGACGCTTTTCCTAAAAGCGCAATTTTCACCATTTTCGCGATCGGGGCTTTTTTGCGCAAAACAAATCTGAGCTGTCTACACTGGCCCTGTTGCGCAAAAGCTTTGCGCAAAAGGGACTTTTGCCCGAACGGGAGCAGCACAGTATTTCCACAGGAAGCACTGATTTCAGACAGTAGGAAGTCAGTGTTCTTGTGGAAATTCAAGCAGCCAGTGTAGACAGCTGGCAAGTTTTTCTGCAAAAGCAGCCCTTGAGTTCCCGCTCATTCCATGCTTCCCTGCTGCTTTTGAAATGTACAAGAGTCCCAAAGGACTCTTGTACATTTCAAAAGCAGATGTGCTGGCAGTGGGAACTGGCACCAGCAGTGGGAACCGGCACCTACTGTGCCTCTGCCTCCCTGTCCCCCGCGGAGATGGTGCTGGGGGAGAACTGGCTTAAAGCTGATGCAGGCAGCAAGCAGAGGGAAGAGAGTAGTCGAGTGGCTACTTGACTATCTGATAAGCATTTGCTTATCCGATAGTCGACTAGTCGCTAACATCCCTAATTTAGGCAACAATACTGCACTTTCCCCTTAAGACAGGAGGTCAGAACATATCTGGAGGTATAGTTTCCATGTGTATCTTCATGCCTTGACCTGAGAAACATGCAAAAGAAACCATTGCCGCAGGGAACTATGCAAGTAGCTTGATTATTTGAATAGTCTGAAGGGAAATTGATATTTTCAGATAATGGAGGTTTCCAGTAAGAAAACTTTGACTGCAATTAATGGACGTCGAAAGACAGGATTTTCTTTTTGACAGACACAGGCATTTGGATACTGTGGACCCAGTGACATTAATAGTTCCACTGAAGTGACAATTACGTGGTTAATTCAAATTTGTAATGCTCTGATGAGGCCTGCTGCCGGATACACTAAACCCATCACAACATGTGTTGCTAACTCTGTCCACACATCTATACAAGTGACACCATCACAGGACTTAATCACATGAGCCAGCACACCAGGGGCTCATTCACCTGCACATTCACTAACATGATATATGCCAACAAGTGCCAAAAATGCCCTTTTGCCAAATATATTGGCCAAACGATATAGTCTTTTTGCCAAAGGGTAAATGGACATAAATCAAGATATTAGGAATGGTAACACACATAAAACCAAATGGGAACACTTTAACCTCCCTGGACATTCAGTAATGGATTTAAAAGTAGCTATCCTTCTATAAAAGAATATTATAAACTAATTACAGAAGGAAACAGCTGAACTGGAGTTCATTTACAAGTTCAATATTATCAACATAGAGGCTTGAATAAAGATCTTAACTGGTTAATGTACTGCAAAGGCAATTTCCCCTCTTTTAATATTCACATCGCCACATCAAATGCTGTAAATGAGACACATCCACACTGCCTTAATTAGCTTCATTAATATAATACTATAATTGACAGGTATTTCCTTTGGTGTTATATATACCCTGGATTCTATAATGTCCATTCCAACTCATCTGATGAAGTGTGTTTTACCCAAGAAAGCTCAAGACCTAAGAAATGCGTTAGTTTCTAAGGTACCACAGGACTGTTTGTTGTTTTTTCATTTCTCTGTGATTGCTGATGGCTCTGCTAACTTCCCCATTATTTAAGTTTGCAGTTGGGGGGTTATATTTAATGATCCCTTTCCATTCTTTCTCACAACCAGGATCTTGCCTAATCTTGTTCTTTTTATAACATTTGTAGAACTTACTCCATATGTTGCTGCTTCTCAAACATTCATTCACACCATAGTTCTCCCTTTCACCCATACTTTCGTAACCTCTTCTTCAAGCTATCCAACGTGCAGCAGTGTGATGGGGCATCTACCCCACACTGGCCCTTTCAGGTGAGGGCTGGAGGGCTGGAGCTATGGAGCAAGCAGCTGCAGCAGACACCAGCCAATTAGGGCCTACCTGTGGGCTGTATAAATAAGGGCTCCAGGAGGGAGGAAGGGAGAGACTCACTCTTGGTCTGGCTGGGGAGTGGGAGGGACCTAGCTGCTAGGGAAGCATGAGGCTTTCTGATTTATAGCATGACTGAGGAAGCTCTGGCCAAGCAAGTTCTCAGGCTGCAGGGCCTGAAACAAGGCCCTGGGGTGCTAGGGCTGAGGAGAGGCAGGCAGGAAAGGCAAAAGCAGCAGGTCCATACCCCATTGCCAATGAGGAGTGGTCATTTCGGACTGCAGTTTTGGGTCACTGAGGCATGGTGGGCATAGGGGGATTGAGGGTCCCCAGAGGGGGAGGACTCCTGAGTGTGGGGGCACTGCAGTAGGGCAGTACCCAGGTAGAAGGCAGCATGGTTGGTCTGGAAGAGACATAGGCTCTGGCAAAGGGTGGTGGAGAATAACAAGTAGCAGTTGGTGAGACACCAGCCAGAAGTGGGTGCTCCAGCACCAAAATGCTAATTCCCTGAGAGCCCAGCAGGAGGCGCCTGTGGTGGTGAGGCCTGCCCTATTACAAGCAGTTACATAATATTCCTGCCATTCTAAGAGTGTCAAGGTTAAGAATGGCAAAGTATTTTGTTACCATATCTCTTTACATGGGCTGTCAAATAGACCCAAAGGTGATTCTGGTTCTGCGCTCAGCATGAGGGCTTATAGCAAGTTCATATCTTGTACAGTAGTCTTCTGCAGCTGAGCCAACGATTTTCTCCCCACGACTGAGTTTCCTGGCACAACCACCAGTAACAGCAGACACCTGGGCTCGATCTAAGAGAGACTTTTAGCCCTGCTGATCACAAAGTTGTTCTACATTTACGTACTCACTGCTGAGAGATTTTGGACCTCGGTCTCCTAAGACAGATTTTGTTCTATTTTTTTTTCTTCACAGTAACCTTGCAAGGTCTAACCTTACGACACAAGGGAGGTGAGACAGAACAGGGCCTCTAGCATCATTACTTTCCTATGACTATGTTGTCAGAGGAACCATATTAAAGATAGCATTTTATTTCATCCTGGCGTCTCAATTTTCCAGTCCCAGAATAGTAACATTTTTATAAACACTGCTTTATGTAAGCACTAATAACAATAGTTAAAAACTTTCTTTGTGCCATTAACTGCTGCAAACTTTCATGCGGCACAAAATGTTATTTTAATAGCTGAAGATATATTTTCTTTTAATAAAACCTGGTGGCCTTTTGTTTCGATCAGACTCAATCATTGCACTTCAAATGCATCCCAAAAACTGAGTGTGAGCATGCAGTTAGCGGATTCTTATTGCAAACTTATTTTACATTTTTTCTTGTCATTCCATTTTCCTTCCCCATCCTCTCTGTAACCCTCAGGCTACGTCTACACCACGCATTGCTGCACAAGAAGATATGCGAATGAGGCACGGTGATGAAAATTGCCACACCTCATTTGCATACCTAATGAGCTGCC